AATCGTGCAGGGAGCGCATAGCAGGCCCTACATCGTGCAGGGAGCGCATATAGCAGCCCCTAAATCGTGCAGGGAGCGCATAGCAGCCCCTAAATCGCATAGCAGCCCCTAAATCGTGCAGGGAGTGCATAGCAGCCCTTAAATCGTGAAGGTAGCTAGCAGCCCCTAAATCGTGCAGGGAGCGCATAGCAGCCCCTAAATCGTGCAGGGAACGCATAGCAGCCACTAAATCGTGCAGGGAGCGCATAGCAGGCCCTAAATCGTGCGGGGAGCGCATAGCAGCCCCTAAATCGTGCAGGCAGCGCATAGCATAGGGCAGATAGTGTGGGTAGGGCTCATATGAGCAGCGTTTTTTTAGGTGTGTAAGAGCTGTGATGGAAGTGAAGCTGCAAGAGTGCTCGCGTAGTCTCTTGCCTGCAGGGAGTAGTTGTGGCGTAGTTTCGCGTAGGCACCTATAATAGTCTCGTCCGCGTAGTCTGCGTAGTTGGTATGTTTTGTGAGCAAGCAGAGGTTCGTGCTGCATAGAATTGTCAATAGCCCAGGAATGCCGCGTAGTCCGCGTAGGCAGCGCGATAGCAAGAGTGAGTTCGCGTAGTCTGTTCTGCAGGGAAAACAGCAATCCGCGCAGTTCGCGTAGGCAGACTCTCTTAGTACAAAGATTGTAACCTTGAAAAAAAACAATGCTCATATGTGGCCCCAAAGCCGCAGACACTCCAAACTGGACCCTGAACGCCTCTTCTGCTTCATAAGCCCAGAACCCTGAATCCTAAACCTTAAGGTCAAGGATACGCGAATTTTTTGAACTTTAACCCGTAACCCCGAGCCTGTTGAGCCCTCGGCCCGCCATACACAAAGGATCCGAACGCTCGCTGCAAGTCGGCAGGCATGATGTATTTCCTCGGCCTCCTAGTCGCCAGGCTGTTTAAACAAGGGCTTAAACTAGAGGAATTCAATTGTATGCGGTTTAGGGTGTTCACGCTTACGGCTTGCGATGAGGGCCTGAGGGTAGGATGTAGGATTTAGGGCTTCGGACTCAAGAATTCGAATGTCCCGGGCAGACTTGATGGCGTCCCATTTTCCTCCTTGTTTTGCAGGGAGGTGGAGTTGTATAATCTATCTTCACTGTTTCCGGTGTCTGGAAGTAGAGGCTGCTAAAGGCTTGGCAAACGGCAAATCCTAAACCCTTAAGATCCCATAGGTTAGGGTCGTAGGGTTGAGGGGTAAGGGTGTCCTCACACCCACAACCTCAAGCTCTTAAGGCGCGACTTCGCCTACAGTTTCGCAAGCCGCCAGTGGTTGCACAGCCGCACGGCCACAGATTTAGTGCTTCAGAGTTCGGGCGCTTGAGGGCTTTGGGTTTAGGATCAAGGTAGAGGGTGGATTGGTTTAATCAAGGTGGGGGGGATGACAGTAGAAGAAGCGAAACTTGCAGGAATGACTTGACAATGACAGGCGTCCCTGAGGTCAGTATGGGGTGATGGCAAGGATTCAGCATCGGCAGTTTCAAGCCCTGCTGTAAAGTCTTGAGCCGTTTGGGAAGAAATTCATTTAGGAGGCAATCTTGGGGGATAACCGCAAAAACCACAGGAGTTTTCATTCCCAGCAGGGGCTCCAGTAGATCCCCATGGTGCTGGCTGGCCCAATGGAGAGGAGGCTCCCTAAACTTTTCTCTCCCCCCAACCCGAAATCTCAATCTTTTGATTCCACCTAAAGCCTGGAACCTTGACCCTATAGGGTTCTCTCAGAATCTCGCTCCCTACTGGATCCTTCCTGTGAGACTTTTCTGATTGCCTCCCTGCTAATGACCCCTTCCCAGTGTGTTTCAGCACGGTGTAAACCTATGCCCCCCAAACCTCTGAGCCCTAGGCCTGAAATACTCAACCTAAGATGTTGAATCCACAGAGCTGAGCCGCACACTGGCCCTGGGGGATAAAGCCCCATAATAACCCACGCATATGTTTTCTGTATATCTTCTGCTCCTTGAACCCAAGCCCCCAAACCCAAGACCTTCAACCGTACAAAGCATGCTCCTGAACAACGGCCACTACCTCTACTTCCTAGTGCTTTTGCCTTTGTTCCTCTTTCTATCTACTCCTCTTTCTACTTCTCGTCCTGCTGCCTCCTTCCGTTTGTACTTGTGCTTCTACCATGGCTACTACGACTATTACTGTATCATGGCCATTACTCAGCATCTTTGCCAACCTGGACGTTGCTTCCTTGGGTTACGCAGCCATCGTTGGAGTGGCTTTGATGCACACGGGGATGGATTCCGAATAAATTTCAAACCTGTATAGGGTTGGTAGGAGTGCGCATGTGGGGTTCTAGGAGTCTACAGGGAAATAGTCCATGGAGTAGCTTGCGGGGCCTCTCAGCATACTGGACCCTTGTGTGGAGACCCCTTCGTAACAGGTGAGGACTGTTGCATTTAAGGGTGGTGCTCAGGGGCACCCAGTTGACTTCGAGCAACTTCTAGCAGCGTTTGTACAGAGAAGGGTGTCTGGAGGAAGACTTGTCAATGGAGAGAGAAATCTTTTCTCAAGTCGCCACTCCATGGAAAGCAAAATAGATCCCGAGCCCCAGCCCAACAAAACCCTAAGTCCCAAAGTCAGCCCTTAGGATGACAGTGCCAACCTAAACGCTCGAAGCCGAACACATACAGCTGGCTGAGGGTGCTAGGGTCTAAGGCTCAGATAAGGATAAGGGGGCCATATGAGATCTCCTACACGGAAATCCGCCTGATAACTACCCAACTGGAGGTTTCCTGAGTAGAGCACAAGGCTACCTCAATCCATGAGCTGCCCTGAAAAGCTGTCCAAAGACTGAAGGCCATGAAGAAGCCATGTGAGCTGATCTCAAACGTTTACTCAAGGAGCCCTATTTCTGCCATAATTCCTGCAGAATCCTTGTATAGCCCCAGGATGCCTAGAGGCCCCCGTTTGGAGACCCCCCACTTAAGCTGTGCTCCTTCCCCTTGCAAAGCGTCTCAAACCTCATCCAACCTTCACACCCCTGGACCTTCATGTAGAAGCTGAACAACTACCAGGATTATAGTCCTAAATCCCATGTACGGGTATCGTAGAGGATACTTCAAAGAAATGTGAAAACAACATTGGTAGTTTTCAGGCGTCTACATTATGTAATCCTTCTATATAATCTCTGTTTATTTCCTATCTATCTGACCCTCCATCATTGATATGTAAACATTTCAGGTTTCTTCGCTTAAATACTAGACCCGAAGTCCCAAACCTTCAGGGCTTGAAGCCGTAAACCCAACCCTCAACTCCAAACCCGCCTGAACCCTTCAAAACCCATGGCCTGGCCCATGAAGAACCTATGGGCCCGAGAGCCTGGCGGCTTCTTAATCTAGCCTTTGGTTAGCTGGGAATGAAGGAATGGAAAAGAAAATGGAAACTAATATAACGGTTTATATAGGGGCTTCTATCAGGATCCATTCCTTCATTCCTAAGTACCCAAAGGCCAGTAATGCCGAGTTTGGAGCGTTGTGTTGGCAAGCTGCCCGGAACCGCATGTGGTGAGCCGAGCGGCCGAAGCGCCGCGAAGGCCAACACAGGCTGAGCTGCTTCTGGCTCGTGCAGGGAAACATCGAAACTGTGGAGAGTAGGAATTGACAAAGGCCACCCTGGCTAGCGGTGTTTGAGGGGTAGGAGCCCCAGGCCCTAATTCAGACCTGTTAGGCTGGTTGGGCTGAGCCTGTGAGCCACGCGAGTGCGAACAGCGGGTGCGATTTGGAACACTGGTACACCACCAATCCCCATTCACGCTTAGCCACTAAAGAGTGGAAAAGCTTTGCCTGTTCCAAGCCTAAGCCCGAAGCCCGAAACCTCGATCCGTGAAAATGCAAACCCGAAAGCCTGAAATTCCTCATCCTTACAACCCGGGTGCGTAGAAGCCCCAACGAAATCTGACTCCGCCGTGTTTTCCCTGTCCCTGTCGAGTCATAAACTGGACCCAGACAACCGCCAGAAAGCAAGGTAGTTTAGCCCAAACTTTGACTGCCCCTCAGCCCGTATCCGTGTATTTAGCCCCATTCCTTGGACTCTAGTCTCTCAGGCATCAAGCCTCGAGTAAACCCTAAGCCCGAGTACGATTTAAGCCCAAGGTCTTTCAACGTTGAGCCCTGTAGGGTGGGAAGAGGGAATGGATCCCTTTAGTGTATGGCTCCCCTTGCAGTAGTCCCTGCGGCCCAACCCTTCAAAGCATCAGGGAGATAATTCTTAAACCAGACCAGTCATCGCGAAGAGTGGAACCTCTGAGGAGGCGAGAATGGTCAACCTTCTTTTGGGTGTAAGGGCTGATCCCTGGATGCTCCTTGTCTTCACAACAGGTTCCGGGCGTAGGTTAAAGCCTTGCGAATGTTTCGGACATAGGAGTCTTGGGGTGCTGGCTATACAAGTAAGGTTCGGGGTGTAGGGCTTAGATGCGGTTTGTCATGAAGACTGGGTGCCTAATTCCGATCCTTCCAACCTTTTCGTATGATCGTAACAAAAGCTGAGGCTCAGGCTTTTGAATGGGCTTTTGAGGATTTCCTGGGATGTCAGGGGCTTGGCGCTAGAGCGCTAGGTTACTTGTAGGCTCCATGAAATGAGGACACCCAAGCCGGGCTGAAGAATCCTTAAACCCAGAGCTCTTACCTTAAATCATGACAAGCCATCCTTGCAGCATGTATGTGTCCTCCAAAGCATGCCCGCTTAACCATTGTCCGGTTCACTGATTAAGCTGGGTATTGCATTTCTTGGACTTCAACTTCTGGTGGCTTTGAAGCCAAGGAGGTATTTCCAAGCCTTCGAACTCCCCAAACCTTAAACAACAAAGGCTAAAGCTAAAGCCCCAAGCTTTAGCCCTCAACCATAAAACTTAAGCTGCAGTTTAATCTTTGAGCCATAGACACCAGCACCTGCTGGAGCGTCTCAAAAAGTGCAGGCCTTACGGGCTAGAATTTGGAATTCAAGCCTTATGCGAGGGTTTGGAGTCGGTCAAGGCTTGTCCAACAACCCAGTGAGAGCACAACTCTCAACAAAGAGCAAGGAAAACCCAAAGGCGCAAAACAAACTCCAAGAACACCTCCCCTATCCCTACCCTTAAACCCTAAACTTCAAACCCAGAACCACATGTTCTCAACCCCAACACACCCAAAACCTAGCCCTAAAACCCCAACCCCAAAACCCCCAACAGCCTGAGCAAAAGTCCGTAAAGCCAACGTGCTGAATTACATGCAGAACCCATCCAGGTCCAGGGCTTAGCCCTCGACCTTAAACACTCGGCCCTTATCTACCCTGAAGGTCCCTAAGCCGGCGGGAATCTAGAACACCTTGGGCCCTAATCAAGGAAGAACAACCGGGGAGTCATGCAGATGGAGTTGGCGAGGTCACAAGGGTAAGTTGAAGTTTCAGGATTCAGGGTTTAGGAGTGTTGGGGCTTTAGGATTTTACGGGTTCAGAGTTTAGGGTTTGGAGACTTCAGGGTTTAGGGACGTGCACACCCAGACAATCCCCAATGTCTGACGAAACCTGTGAGACTTTTCTGCAAGATGTCATGCGAGTCGGCCGAAACGAACAAGAACTACATGTCACCATTTTTCCCTATCAGGGCTTACAGTTTTGGGTTCTGACGGTTTAGGCGGACTTTGCCCACTTTTTCTGCACCCACTTGCAACATAGGCGTTACTATCCTGAGGTTTAGGATTTGAGCTTCAGGCTTTAAGGTCAATGGTTCAGGGTGGCTAGAGCCAGGATTCTGGATTTAGGGTCTATCTCTTGAAGGTCTCAGATGGATTCGTCTGTTTGGGTGCACTTAGTCTGACAACAATATGAGCCAGGTTGTTTTGTAGCCGAAGTTTGACAAACCCCCATTTAAGACGTCTGAAGTACTTCTGAGTGTTGTAGGAAAAAGCTCACTTTCTGTCAAGGCTATTTGTTGTAGCCCCGTTCAAGGTCGTACGAGCGTTTAATTAGTATGTTTACCTACCAGAAACGATAGTCCTTACACATTTGTGCATAAAATCGAATGCTTGGCATTGTCACTGAGTGGCATGCTGGATGTAGTGGGGTGATCCTAAAACGCGGATTCCCTCACATTGGTGATAGGTTTTGCAGGTGCCAGGTGGACTGGATTTCCTGGGGCCCGTTGCTGGCATAAGAACCCATACTTTGCAACCAAGGTCCGTCTCACATCTCCCAGAACACCTTAGGGTCCAACAAAAGTCTGAAACGATAAGCCTTGAAACCCAAAACCAAGCCTTGAATCTTCACGCCGTGCCCCCATGCTGACCAGGAGCCAGGACGTATCCCAGACAATAGATGCCCACATCCAAAGGCCTTGTGCAAGGTTTGGGAGCAACAGCTAGGTTCAGGGCTTACAGTCTAAGTCTAAGGCATCAGTTTTCAGGTTTAGTTCCTGAGGGGATGTTTAGCCAGGGAAACCCTAAACTCACTTCAAGCCAAGCAAGTTTTACATCACATTGTAAAGCCTGCAACAATGTCGGGGTTCACAGTCATGGTGCGTTTTTAAGGGTGTTGCATCCCGGAGCGCTGTGCTCCCGAGCACCATCGGGACGATTAGGTGAACTGTCACCATAGAGGGGTCATATAGGGACTATTAGGGTATACATTGGGGTTCTATAGAGATAATGGAAAATACAATGGAAACTACTATATATTTTTTTTGACCTTTTCGTCTGGAACTCCATTCGAGCCAAGACTAGCAATTTGAAACCGCGCATTTGAAGATCGTGAAGGTGTGGATGGTTGTAGCGAAGTACCCTGCCTGGACTCTAACAAAAGCTTAAAGCATGTGTGGAAAGTTTCAACTTACCGTGACCAAGACTTGTCGGCGCATCGGAAGTCTGCTAGAACGGCTTTTCGGAGCCTTCCCATCTCATGTATCCCAAGAATAAGAACTCAGTGGTACCTGTACACGGATGTCTTCATTCCCAAAAAATTCACAGCCCGAAATCCAAAAGCCAAAACCCTAAACCCAACGCCCAAACGCTAACCATTTGTTATAGATAGTTGCGCCCCTGGGACTGCCAACACTTGCTGGATGCCGATTACGTGGTGTACACATCCACCTTAAACCCATTAAGCCTCAATCCCTGAACCTCCCAAACACTTAATCTTAAAACGCCTGAATTTACACCTCCATACCCCACAGCCGCAGAGGCTTCAGCGCGACGACGAGTCAGACTCCGTGGCCTCCGACTTGTCGCAGAGGCGCTCCACGGCGGCTTGGCATCGTTGTCTTGGAGCAAAGGTATTTAGGGATGTAGGGCACATCTTGCGATGCATATATATATATGTATCTGTATGAATAGCGCCATATCAGGATATTTCGGGGTACATCAAGAGAGACAGGGAGAGAGAGACATAGACATACATGTATTTTCTACACGTATGTATATGTATATATATATATATCTACATAGGTGTGTATATATATATATAGATATTTAGATAGGGCGTAGGGCTTGAGTGGAAACACAATGGAAGTTGCTAGATTATTTCATGTTTAAGGTTTCGGGTTTGCTGGTGCTGATGGAGTCGTCGGGGCATAAATATATTTACCATCATAGGCGATTATTATAGGGTGATTGCCGGGATCCACTTTCCTACACCCTGTTAAGGGCTGATAAGTCTTCAATTTGAAGGGCTTACGGCGGGGCTTGGGGTGTAGGTTCGAGGGGTTAGGGACAGGGATTAGAAAGTTGACTCCTTTTGTGAATCAACTCCTTCAACAGGGAGCATACCCTTGAGCATATTCTGACGAAACTGTTGTGTGGTAGGCGGTAGGGTTTGGGTTTAGGATCCTCTCAGGGAACTCTTGACCGAAAGGACATGTCTTAAAGCAATGCGCACATTGAGAAATTGGTATCTTTATAAGAGGTGCCTCCCAGCACATGTTAGGAGTGCACTGTCGGCCTGAGTAACATTTCTCTTTATCTGAGGGGTGATTGGGGTATATGCAGCTCAGCTTGCAGGGTCACAGGATGTCATGATCCCCAGGATGTACTGGGTGCAGGATCCACGAGGAAGGGCGAGTTGTAGCCCCAAACCGAGATTAAGATTCAGTACTGTTGGGATAATGGAAATAGAATGGAAACTACTAGGGTATATTGGGGTTATATAGGGATAATGGAAAATAGAATGGAAACTACTAGGGTATATTAGAGTCTAGCAGTCTAGGGCCCAGGATTTGGAACATTGGGATGGGGATGGGTTTGGAGCTCTGGCGTGGGGAGGTTTAAGGGAGCCCTAAGGGGACTTCACATATAAAAGCCCAGACTAGGAGAGCTAGGGAGGGTGTAGGAGTCCTTGGTTGTATCGCTTCTTTAAAGATTTTGTGGTTTTGGATTGCCTTTGAGGTTCAGGTTAATCTTGGAGGATCAGCGCTGTGGCTGCACGTACTTGCCATTTGCTACTTCTATGCCAGTCGTTTCCTCGCTAGGATCAAGAACATCAATCATGGGGGCTTGAAGTTTCAGGATCTCAGCTTCGGGGATCTGAGGTGAGAATGTATGCTGCGTTTGCATCACATGTTCAATCCATGAATCGTGTTAAAGCGCCCACTAGCCTCCAACTGAGTGAGGCGTAGGTCCTCAGTTTCCTAGATACGACTACGACTTGTAGAACCTCACTACCAATGACCAAGCGGCCTACAGAAGAATTGAATACATGGAAGCTTACGAGACGTGTAGTTATGTACCCTCAACCCTAGCCTGGACCCCCAAGCTCTGAAAGCAAGGATGGGTCTGAGCTTGGGCTTGTGATACAAGTGCCGTTCTGAGAAGGCTCCAGCAGTCGTCCGCCCACAATTTGTGGCTTTGAGCTCGTCTCCCCAAGCAAGGGACCAGACGATTTGAAACATAGTCATAGTCCTTCCACATGTACGGGAGTCTCTGAATAGTAGCACGGATAGATGGTTCTACTGTCACAATTGTACAGCTTCTTAGTGATACTCTCAGTGTTGTTGCTTCTGACAATATCGCCATGATGTTGTATTACATGTTGTCAGCAGGTTTACTTTCACGGAAACTCTCATGGTTGTTGATCTCTTCCATCTCGTGGAGGCTGATTGCGACCAAGTCTCCCCCCTGATCTGGGTAGATAGTTGCTTTGGCTATGGATCGTATACACCCTGAGCCCCTAAACCTCATAAACATAGGAAAACAGAAGCCCGACGCCCTCGGCTCCAAACCAATGTTAATTCTACCGTCCAGGCCATGGGCTCCTGAAAGGGGTCATCAAAAGGGTAGACGTTGAGTGTAGAAGGCATCCAACGTTTGTGCGGTCCACGGTTCCATTCTTACCATTTGCACATGCTACACTGGGAGCTGTTTCAAAGTTAGACAAAGGGCCTCATGATCCTAATGGATTATCTAAGTCTGGACTCGAAGCTCTGTTCCACGTTTGGGAGATGCAACCTTCCCTTCTCGGTGCTTGGTGTGTCCTTTTCGAAAGTCCTTGCAATTTTGTGTGAGCTATATATAGGTAGGAAGGCACTCATGTCGAAACAAGGTTATTAGCTACAGCCCTAGTGGTTACTACTACAGGTTACGCTCGTTCTGTTGAACACTTCTTTCCAATCCGCTATGATTACGAATACCATCCAAGGCCAAGACTGTGGAGGGAGGAATTCTTTCACCTCCTAGGATCCGGAAATGATTATGATTCCTAAGGACCATGGGATTAAGGGTTGTGCAATATTTCCTTCATCCAAAGTGGGATCGCCTTCATTATTCCGTCAGTTGCAGGGATTGGGACCCCAAAAAAGATCCTAAACCCTAAAAGCTAACTTCCAGAAACTCCTGAAGATACGGTCCGGCATCATCCTGAGCTATCCACCCTCCGCGGACGAACAAATCAGGGATGAGATCCCCAAAAGGTTTCACAAACACAAGGAACCTAGGATCCCACATTGAGCTTAAAAGATGGACAGAGGCGAAATATTTTTCACCTTGAGTCCCAGATTGCATGCAAAGTATTCATTTTTCTTCAAAGTCAGAAGGCTTCCTGTGAGGGAGATTCAGCAAAAGCCCAATTTGGGGGATCCTTATGTTGATGTCGCTAAACCCTAAGTGGTATTTTCCTCTTTCCACTATCCCAATACAACCCCTCCATAAACCCCATATATATGTTCTCCACCATCCCTATATCACCCCTATATAAACCCAATGTAACCCCAATATGTACCCTATCATACTAGGGTGGTCTTTTGTGGAGCGAGCCTAGGGCAAAGCCCATACCAATCTCCTCAAAGGGACGCGGGAGACCCTCGGTCCAAGAAGTTTTCAACTCCGATGCGGTTTTACGGTTTAGGGTTTAAGGAT